TTATTATTATTATGGCTTATTTCCTGATCCATCCATAAATTTTGTTAAATTTCAACACATTACCTCATTAATATAATGTAGAATATCTGCTATAAAAAGAAACATCTGCTACAGTGTAATATTCTGAAAACTACAATTCAACAGTATTTATTTTTAATCGTGGCTCATTTGCACCTACTGTCTTCAACCACAAGAGGGAAACAAAGTATCTTATGGATCTCACAGGTTTCATTTTACGGTATTATCCCGTCAGAACCGTGGATTGACTTCCATTCAGTTTCTGGTAATTTTATATCCTAACCCTGACCATTTACCCTAAAACTAACCTCACAGGTACCTGACCCTAAAACTAACCTAAACTCAATTCATACCTTGGTCCTAAACAGAACCCCTCACCCGAAATTAGGCATTAGTCCCCACAATGCATATTCTGTCCCCATGAGGCTGCCTTTTTTGGAAATTGGTTCCCACGAAGTAGCAAAAACTAACCCAAACACACACAAACACACCCTCAAGGACCATAGTGAGGGTAAAGAGTTGGTCCAGTGCATTGTTCCTCCAGAATCTGAGGTTCAGGTATCGATCTGACTCTCTACTCCAGTACCCATGAAAAGACCTTACTGGGGAGGCTAAGGAGAGTGATGCCCCTGTAATAGGAGCACACCCTCCAGTCCCCCTTTTTGAAGGGGGGAACAACTATCCCAGTCTGCCAACCCAGTGGCACTGCCCCCGATGTCCACGTGGTGTTACAAGACGTGTCAACCAGGACAGCCCCACAACATCCCAAACTTTGAGGAAATCAGGGCGGATCTCATCCACCCCTGGAGACCTGCCGTCATGAAGCTTTTCAACTACCTCAGCCCCAGTTATGGACAGACCAGCCCCGCAGTCCTCAGACTCCGCTTCCACCACAGAAGACGTGCCGGAGGGATTCAGAGGATCCGAGAAGTATTCCTTCCACCTCCCGACGACACTGGTTGAGGTCAACACCACCCCACCTTCACTTAGCACAGTGTCAGTGAAATGCTACTTCCCTCGCCTCAGCCACTGGACGGTTTGCCAGAATCTCCTCAGAGACAATATCGAGTCTTTGTCCAAGGCCTCACCAAATCCCTATCAAATCTGAGTTTTTGCCTCACCAATGGCCAAGGCTGCGACCAACTTGGACTGCCAATACTCCTCAGCTGCCTTCAGATTCCTATCAGCCAACAAGGCCCAATAGGATAGATAAGCCAGGGTGTCCACCACCAAGTTTGAGGATGACCACTGTGAGAAGCACCAACAACCTYGTGGCCACAGCTCAAGTCAGCCACTTCAACAGTTGAGGTCCTGGAACATGGCCCACTCAGACTCAATGTACCCCGCCTTGGTTGGGATGTTGTTGAAGTTCTCTCAGTGGTGTGAGTTGAAGCTCTTTCTGATGGGTTCTTCTGCCAGGCGTTCCCATCAAACTCTCACTACAGGTTTAGGTGTATGATGTCTGTCCCACATCTGATTCAACTCACTACCAGGTGGTGATTGATTGAGAGATCAGGTCTGGGCTTCCCTGCTCAAGCTGCTGCCCCTGCAACCCGACTTTGGATAAAACGAAAGATAAGGGATGGATGAGATTTTAACCCAATAGTTTCAAATATAATTTTTTTTACACTAAAGTATGATTTATAGGGCAATAATATGTACAATATTTAAAATTTGGCATGTATCATTCATTTAGAGGGTTGGCATCATTTGTTTGCTACTGAAATGAAAAAAGATGACATTGTACATATTTCATGTTTTTTAATCAGTAGAGTGTCTGAAGATATTTTTTGGTGCAGTTTGGTGCCAGTGTAAGAAATACTGACAGAACAGTTGGGGAAAGAGCATGACCAAATTTTCAAAATAAGCTCAATTTTTGACACTTTTTGGCACTTTTTGTGGATGCCAGCTGTAAATGGCCTCATAAGTTCAATATTAGTTACCTGGATTTAATTAAGCAATCAGTTTTTAACATTTTGGTACAAAACAAAACAGATCTGAAGCAAAAGATCTGGCGATTATAGTCAGATATTATATAGTCAAAGCCATGATTTTTACCATTAATCTTGAATTTTGACTTTGTGTCCAGGAGAAATTTCTTATGAAATGTTTTTTTTTTAAATACCTGTAAGGGATGCATTTCAATGGGGTACCATCAAAATTTCTGGTACTTTTTATGCAGATAAACATGGTCTGTCTCTTGGACTATCAAGCTCCTCCCATCAGGACGCAGATACTTAGTGCCAAAATGTCATACTATGCATTTTAAAATCAGCTTTTTAAATTCAAGTTAACATACACTCACCGGCCACTTTATTAAGTACACCTGTCCAACTGCTCGTTAACACTTACAGTGGTTTGCAAAAGTATTCATACCCCTTGAACTTTTCCATATTTTGTCACATTACAACCACAAACATAAATATATTTCACTGGA